TTATTAGGATTTATTTTACCGGCCATTACTCCACCTTAGGACCTGCCTCACTAGTAAACAGTGTTGCCGGGTTACCTCTGAACCATATAACGAGCTGAGCTGAGCTGGGGACATTTTGCTTTGGTTGGATAAGAATTAATTGTGTTAGGTTTAGTTGAAGTGGGGTTTGAATGGGTGAAGTGGGGTTAGGGTTGGGTGAAGTGGGGTTGGGTGAAGTGGGGGTTGGGTGAAGTGGGGTGGGGTTGGGTGAAGTGGGGTGGGGTTGGGTGAAGTGGGGTTGGGTTCGGTTAAGGACAAATGTCTTTTCACCCAATCCAACCCAGACAACTACAACCCCTTATGCACCTTGTCACTTAGCACCACCCCACCCTCCCTCCCCACTTCCCTAACACCTCTCCCCTACCTCACCATCTTCCCATCACCTCCCTCCCTCACTAACACCTCCCCCTCCTCATTTCACCACCATCACCTCCTCCTTCTTTCATTATAACCCCCCACCTCCCTCCCCACCTGTCAGTCTTTTATAATGAGTGAGAGCTTGAGAACGATCATCATCACCTTGTTCCACCTGCTCCTACCCCCTCCCTCTACACCCTCCCCTTCTACACCCCCTCCTAGCTCTACTACTTTCTCCTTGTTCCGGATGGGTGGTTTCCTTGGTTGTTGTTGGTAGTGGTAGGTGTGGTAGCAGCAGCGTAGATGGTGGTAGTGTTGGTATTTGTGGTGGTCGTGGCATGAATGGGTGGTAGTGTTCATTTGTGGTGGTCGGGTATGAATGGGTGGTAGTGTTGGTATTTGTGGTGGTCGTGGTATGAATGGGTGGTAGTGTTGGTATTTGTGGTGGTCGTGGTATGAATGGGTGGTAGTGTTGGTATTTGTGGTGGTCGTGGTATGAATGGGTGGTAGTGTTGGTATTTGTGGTGGCCGTGGTATGAATGGGTGGTAGTGTTGGTATTTGTGGTGGTCGTAGTATGAATGGGTGATTGTGTTGGTATTTGTGGTGGTCGTGGTATGGACGGTAGCTCCGGCAGTTCATAATAGACGTGATATGAATACTTAAAAAGGGTAAAACAATAATAATTAAAATTCATTATATAAACAGTAAGCGACATCATTAACAGCCCGAGGGACACTGAAACACGCCTTCTAGCTGATGACGTCAACCCCACTTCCCGCGTTCCGACACAAGTGACCGAATGGGCGAGTGAAAGAAAGCGTGATTCCTGATGCACTTCCTGGAGAGCTTAAAGGGAACATCTGGGCCTCATATCACCAGAAGAGACTAAAGAAAGTTAGCCTCAAGAGACCTTGGCCCAGTCAGTCAACCATGGAGAGTAGAAGGATATGGATAGGTTTGGTTAGGTTAGGTTAGGTTTGGTACGTAAATAATAGGGAGATGGAGTGTTAGTTGGTGATATTTACACCAGGTCAGCCTTAGGCCCAGACCAAATACCAAATCGATCTCGACACTCTAGGACAGGTCATGGTATATATCAAGCTAAATAGGGAGACTTGCTAACTAACTCCTACTTCCATGTATTTCTTCCTTCGAAAACTCAATCTGCCTAGGAAACAAAGTCGATTTATATAAACATAATAAAAATGAGCATCATTTCTATCCTTATTAACCTAACCTGACCTTAATAACCTAACCTTAATAACCTAACCTAACCTAACCTAACCTTAATAACCTAACCTGACCTTAATAACCTAACCTGACCTTAATAACCTAACCTAACCTTAATAACCTAACCTGACCTTAATAACCTAACCTGACCTTAATAACCTAACCTAACCTTAATAACCTAACCTGACCTTAATAACCTAACCTGACCTTAATAACCTAACCTAACCTTAATAACCTAACGTAGCCTAATTCAGGAATAATTTAGTAAAAGAGGTCTCATATGAAACAACTATATTCTCCATTTATCCACTAAATCCCATTGTAACAGAAATAGGATGGAGCAGCCGAGTGTCTCAAGGCTCGTCACTTGTCTTCGGAGTTTTACAGGATCGATCCCATAGTAACGCCCCAGTTCTACCCAGCTGTCTATAGAGGAGTGAAGGCGATCGAGTTTAATGTCAGCCTTGCTTCTTCCCATGAGAAAGTTAGGCTGAGTATAGCGGGGCTGTAAACATTGTCATCACCTGTGAGTAGTGGTGGTGGTAGGAAGCTTGGGTGTGGTGGTGGTGGTAGGAAGCCTGGGTGATGGTAGTGGTGTCGGTAGGAAGCCTGGATGCGGTGGAGATGGTGGTAGTAGTGGTGTCAGTAGGAAGCCGGGATGTGGTGGTGATGGTGGTGATAGTGGTGTCAGTAGGAAGCCGGGATGTGGTGGTGGAGATGGTGGTAGTAGTGGTGTCAGTAGGAAGCCGGGATGTGGTGGTGATGGTGGTGGTAGTGGTGTCAGTAGGAAGCCGGGATGTGGTGG